GGGCTCAAGGAGCCGCTGGTCACCTTCAGTCTCCACCCCGCCTTCCTGCAGGCTGCTGGTGAGCAGGGGTCTCAAGCTGGGGGGTGGGAAGGGGCTGCTCCTGCCCTAACGCGCCTCCCCGTTGCTGCCACAGACAACCCGGACGATGCCGCCTGTGGCACAGCCCTGCGCCGTGTGGTGAGCAAGCTGCCCCCAGCCAACAGGGACACCCTGGCCTTCCTCATGCTGCACCTGCTCAGGTGAGGAGCTCATCCTGCCACGGGCTCCCATGGCTCTGTTTGTGTTCTGGCTTTCTGCTTCTCACCTAGGCTCCGTGCCCCAGAGCAGGGAAGGCGGGCTGAGGATGAAGACTCCCTTGGTGGAGCCGGCACCCTCACACTGTCCTGCCTGACAGGGTGTCTCACAGCCCCGACTGTAAGATGGACATCCTCAACCTGTCCCGTGTGTTTGGCCCCACGTTGGTGGGACACGGCTCAGCCAACCCCACACCGCTCGCCATCATGGAGGACACGCCACGGCAGTGTAAGGTAAGGGTGTAGGATGCAGGATGTACCTCAGGTGCTGCCAGCACCACCATACTCAATCCCTCTCTGACCAGGTGGTGGCTCGGCTCCTCTCGTTGCCACCTGACTTCTGGAGAGGCTTCGTAGGGACGGAGCAGGAGAACCTGGGGCCAGCACCAGCCCCAGCAGGTGAATGTGGTGAGGCACAGGAAACCTGGCCCCCTCCCTGCCCTGGCCCTGTGGCTGCTGGAGGGTCCTGGGTGCCTGCAGCTGGGCTGGGGTGTGATAGCTGTCCCCCTCTGTCCCACAGAGCCATTCTTCTGCCCCATCACTTCCCCAGAACCTAAACAAGGCCAGCTGAGCCCTGCTGGTACCTGCTGCCTCCCCAGCACCCTGCGGAGCTGCGTGGGCACGGCCACCCGGCCCCCGTGAGTGCTGCTGGGGGTGGGTGGGGAGCCCAGGGGAGCTCACGGTGCACCCCTGACTCATCTCTCCCCACGCAGGCAGAAGCCAGCCCCGAAGAAGGTGGGCCGGTTCTTCCCATCTCTGGTGTAGCCTGTGGCGGGGGCTTCCTGGGGG